GCACGCGGCGGTAGGGCCGGCTTTCGATGTCGTCGAATCGCGACGGCTGCTTCGACCGCCGGCCCGCCTCTGAGATCTTTTGGTGTGCCTTCTCGGCGGCAGCGCTCGTCTCCTTTGCGCGCTGCCCGGGGCGCGAAGCGGGCACCCTCTTGATGCGCGAGGAGGGGCCGCCCTGTTGTCGACGGACGGAGCTGAACCCCATCCGCGATGGCTGGCCCCGCACGGGCAGGTGCGCAGCCGCTGCAGAATGAATCGACCGGAGCAGCTCCTCGTCGGCCGCGCGCGGCGCGCTGAGCATCGCGACGCGCTTCTGGAGGACGAGCGGGCCGCGCGTACGCAGCAGGAGCGCCTGCGACGGCTGCCGTGAATACTCGTTGAGCAGGGCGAGCTGCGACATAGGACGATTTTGCGGGCGATTTGGGGCGTTCGGATCAGCTTCTGGGGCCACGTTTTCTTGTAAATGAACTCGGGGGCACGGACGCGGCACAAACGGTTTTCTTTGTTGCGTAGCCTGTGTACTGCGTTGGTTTATGTCCTTTCACAGGACCACCGCGCCCTCCCTGTGAGCCTGTGTGTCTGGCCGTGTGAGAGAGCGAGTTGTGTGCGTATGTCCTTTCACGCAGCAAACCTGCCTCCTCTCTTTCTCTTATGTTTCCCCATCCGGGCAACTCACTCCTCGTGCACATCGCCATACAGCTCGAGCGCACAGAGGTGTATGCACGAGTGGCGGTACAGGCCCACTTTGGGCAGCTCGTCGGGCGAGACGCTGGAGATGCGGAAGAAGCGGTAGAAGGCCCCCGACGGCGCCTCCACCTCGAAGCTCTTGCGCAGCCCTCGGCAAAAGGCGGTCAGAGCCTCGCATTCGTCGCACGAGGCGGCGCCGTGGAGGGGGGCCGGCGTGCGGCGCACGAGTGCGTTGGCGGCGGCCTCGTAGATCCCGCTCACTGCCGTGTCCACCGGCCGCGCCAGCGCTGTCTCGTTTCGGGCGCGATGCAAAACTGTCCAGGTCACGCCATCCTCGGACGCACCGAAATTCCAAAAGGTGGCTCCGTAGCACTCGGCGTATGCGACCGAGTAACGCGTGGGTCTGAGCCGCACCTTGCCTAGGTCCACACACGCCCACTTGCTGTCCGCCTCGCCCCGGTTTGCCTCACACCAGAGCACGTCGCTGCGCGGCTGACAGATCGCACTGCTACGCCCCTCGTGTAAGTAGCTGGGGTCGTGCTCGACAAACCCCGCGGCGCTCAAGACACTCTTCTCGGGCGTCTCGTCACGAGGGACGGGGTTGCCGCTGGGAAGGTCCAACCTGTGATCCACGTTCCCGCTGCCGCCCGCTCGCGAGGACACCACGCAGACGACACCCTCCGTGTGCGGGTTGCGGTACTGTCGTCTCCCCCGGTCCGTGCCGAGCCAGTGCAGCAAACCCTCGCTGTCGCCGGTCCGCAGATAGGTGCAGCGGTGGGTGACGGCCAGCGCGTCCGACATGGCGTCCATTCCGAAGAAGAGCGCCTCCTCTCGCAGCGCCCGCCACAGACCTGTCAGTGGAGTGCACAACGTCTTGAACCCCGGCCCCGGTGGTACTGGGGCGGGGGCGGGGGATGGCCGGCGCACCGGGGTCATCTGCAAATGGCGGCAGGCGGTGTAGCGATCCCGAGCGGAGGAATGCGAGGATGTGCTGGAAGAGCTCCGGGTCCCGGTCGAGGAAGAAGGTGTCGTGGACGCCGCACCCGCCCCAAGACTCCTGGAGCAGCGCGGAAAAGTAGGCGGAGCCGCAGGCGGCGCTCCGAGAGGTGACAAAGAGCTGACCCCCAACGTCGAGCCGAATGCGGTCGCACGCACGCTTCCCCGGTGCAACGTCGTTTAGCTGACGACTTGGCGGAAAGCCGTCGTCGCCCGGCGCTGCTTGCAACTCCGCGGCGATGGCGCTTAGAGCCTCTTTTCCGCGCGCGCCCCCACGGCCGCGCCCGCAAGGCCGCGCCGCGATACTCTCGATTGGACGGTCGGACCAAGGGTCCCAATCAAAGAGGATTTACCGGGCTAGCTGGGCACGGGAGTGGCGAGCATCCGCATCATCTTTTTCATGGTGCTCCCTCTTCTTTTCGCCTCGCCTCGTCCTCGTGCTGCCGCTTCGAGAGCTTGTTGCGCACCTTGTCCTTCATCTGGTAGAACAGCCGCTTGACCGCGTTGCACCACCCGCCGAAGGTTTCGAACAGGTACATCTGCACGTCGGTGTCCGAGCGCGAGAGGGCGTGCGCGTAGTCCGCCTTCTTGTACGCCACATAGCCGCCGCCGTCGCTCGGCCTGAAGTCGCCGTCCCCGACAGCACCGCGCTGCTCGAGGCCGAAGACGTCCGCGCTCGTGCCGGGCTCGGTGTTGCCGAGGCCGACGAAAGCGCCTCGCTGGCCGACGTCCTCCGGGTTGGAGGAGAGCGTGTCCTTGAACTTGACGTCGCCGACGAGGCGCGAGCGCGAGCGGCCAGCGCCCGCCACCGAGACGTCGGGCCGGTAGTCGTTAGAGTAGCCGAGGTGGTCCCGCGGCTCCACCTCGACGAGCATGCCCCACACGCTCCGCATGACCTTGGCCAGGGCGGCGAGGAGGCTGTTATGGCGGCCGCAGTGCCCGAGGCGGCCGATGTTGCTGGCCGCGTCGCCCAGTGGGTCCTGCACCTTGCCGCCGCGCGCCGAGCAGGTCGGCGCGCCCCGCGCGAGCGCCTCGTCGAGTGGTAGCCCGAGGCGCCGCTGAGCTCGTGCTGGCGCCCGCGCGCCGACTCGGTCGTGACGTGCTCAGCGAGGGCGGAGAAGGCCCGCTTGCAGCTCGCCGCGCCGAAGCCGTGGCCAGGCTGGGCGCGCTCGCAGCCCCCGCAGGGGCAGAGCACCTCCGGCACCGGCTCGTTGCCGTCGCCACCGCCTCCACCGCCGCCGCCGCCGCCGCCACCGTCGCCGCCGCTGTCGCCGCCGCCGCCGCCGTTGCCGCCGCCGCCGCCGTTGCAGCCGCCGCCGCCGCCGCCTCCGCCGCCGCTGCCACCGTCGCCGTCGCCGCCCTGGCGGAGACCGCCCGCGCCGCCTCGGCCGCCGCCGGCTCCGCCGCGTTTGTTGTGGCGGCGGCGCTTGCCCCCCCTCCCCCCGCCGGCGCCCTCAGCAGGCCCGCCGTCAGCCGCTGCAGCCTCCTCGGCCGTCTTGTCGGCGCCGTCGTCGTGGCAGAGGTCGCAGGCGGGCGAGGCGTCGGCGCCAGCCGGGCAGCATGCGCAGCCCCCGCCGGATGCCCTGAGAGGCGAGCCGGCGCCGGAGAGCGTCGGCCGGATGCCGGGTGGGAGGCCGGCTGGCGCACCGCCGCAGCCATCGTCGAGCTCCATCGCCTCCGGTGCTGCACCCTCCGGGTCCGCCAGCGCTGCATACCGCCCAGAGGCCGCGTGTGCGGGGGGCGGGGGGGCGCCGGGCTCGGTCGACCCGGTCGACCCGACCGAGTCGCCCGCCTCGCTCGCTCCGCCGGCCCCACCTGCCTCGACCGCCTCGCGCGCAAGGATCGCCTCGCTAGCCTCGCCGGCCTCGCTCGCCTCCGTCGCCCGCCTCGCCAGCCTCGCCCGCCTCGCTCGCCTCGCTAGCCTCGCCGGCCTCGCTCGCCGCGCTCGACCCGCTCGGCTCGCTCAGCTCGCCGCCCCCGCCCGCCGCGGTCGTCGGCGCGCCGCCAGCCGCCTCGCCCTCGGCCAGCAGCTCGCCCGCCCGCGCGTACACCGCCTCGATGAGGGCGGGGACGTGGCACGCGCGGTGCGGATCGTCCGCCGTCGGCCGGCAGGGTTTCGAGCAGCACAGCTGGCACCTGAAGGTGGGGTCGAAGGCGACTCGTCGAGCCGTGTTGTCGATGTGCTTGCGCTGCCGCGCCAGGAACGCCGCCGCCGCCCTCTGAGCCGCCGGACCGACGTCGGACAGGTTGCCGACGACGGAGCCGTGCAGGCCGCCAACCGAGGCGATGGTCCGCTGCGACCTCGCGGAGGTCGTCCAGCGTCACGCAGCGGCGGCAGAGGCTCGCCGAGTAGGCGTCAACGACCTGGCCGCGCAAGCTCTCGGTGTTGCCTCGCCGGCCCATCGGGAACGGGTTGCAGAACGGGTGCGGCCGCGTCACGTTCTGCTGCTTGAAGCCGCCGCGCGCTCCTGGCGCCACCCGCCGACCGCGGACTGGAGGCGCTGCTGCGCCGAGGCCACCAAGCTGCCGGCCTGGGTGGCCGCGCTCTGCGCCGGGCCGCTGCCCGCCTCGGTCGCCTGGCTGAGAGCGGCGGCGGCCGACGCCGCCGCCGCGGCCAGCGCCTGCCCGGCCTCCGCGCACGCCACCGCCTCGGGGGGCTCCTCCTCGATGACGAGCGCGCTCGTCGAGTGCAAGCGCCCCGCCGCCTCGTCCGCATCGCCTCCAACGCCTCCGCCTCCCCCGCCTGGCGCCGGGCGGAGAGAGCCCTCGCCGCCGCCGCATGCAGCGCGTCCCACGCCTCTGTCGGGTCCGCGTTAGGCGTCGCCAGCAGGCGCTCCGCCGTCGCGATGGCGCCAGCCGCCTCCGCCGCTGCGCCCTCCACCGACTGCGCCGCCGCAGCCTGCCACTTATGACCACTGTGCCCCTTGAGAAAAACGTCAGCCGGCATCGCGTCGCGCAGAAGTCCCGCCGCAGCAGATCGCGGTGACATGGCGCCGAAGAAGGGCGGCAAAGCGCCGCCGCGTGTGCAGTACTTCAACGCGATCCGTGACCAGAAGCTCGACACGCTGCGCTGGTGCCTGCGGCACGGCGGCGTGACGACGCGCACTGAGGACGAGGACGGGCACACGGGGCTGCAGATCGCGGCGGCAGCGGGGCTGAGCGAGGCGCTCGATACGATCCTGGACAGCATCCTCAAGGTTGGCACCAAGGACGAGGTCGAGGAGGCCGATGACGAGGGCCGCACGCCGCTGATGATGGCGGCTCACAATGGCAAGCTAGCGTGCGTCAAGCTGCTCGTCGTCAAGGGCCGCGCGCCGCTGGGCACCAAGTGCGAGAAGGGCAAGACGGCGGCGGAGTACGCCGCGGCGCGCAAGCACGACAAGGTCGCCGCCTTCCTGAGGGACCCAAAGGGCCACGCCGAGTCGTCGGACGAGTCGGAGGAGGAGGGCGAGGCGGAGAGGCAAACGGCGCGCGTCTTCAAGGCGTCGCAGAAGCTGGCGTCGGCGGTCAACGAGCAAGAGGAGGTTCACCGCAAAAAGGTGCAGGCGGCGGAGGCTCTGCAAGCGGCGCTCGCCGAGGCGCCGGAGCCCGTGTGGGGCGAGGTCAAGGCCGTGCTGTCCGAGACGAGGCGCGAGCTGTCGCTGCGCGGCAAGGAGCCGCTGCCTGGCGTGTCGACGGTCGACCCGGCGCTATGGAACTGCGTCTGCCTGCAGGAGCTGCGGCTGGAGATGGCGGCGGGCGCGCTCACCTCGCTCCCGCCTCGGCTCGGCCAGCTCTCCCACCTGACGACGCTCATCGTCTCTAACAACGCGCTGACGGCGCTCCCCGACGTGTTCGCGTCGCTGCCGAGGCTGCGCAACCTCGAGGCAGCGAAGAACGAGCTGCGCGAGCTGCCGGCCTCGCTCTCGTCGCTCTCGCAGCTACAGGTTGTCGACGTGTCGCACAACCAGATCTCTTCCGCCGCGCCGCTCGCGCCGCTGGTGGGACTGGTCGCCGTGCAACTGGGCGACAACGCGCTGGAGTCGCTTCCGGAGTGGAGGTACGAGGAGATGGAGCACCTCTCCACCCTCGCCGCGCCAGCCAACCGCATCTCGCGCCTCCCGCCCGGCATCGGCTCTCTCCCGATGCTCGCCGCGCTCGACCTCTCCGGCAACCAGGTGCGCCAGGTGCCGATCGAGCTCGGCTCGCTCTCGCCGAAGAAGCTGCAGACTGTCCGCCTCGCAGGCAACCCGCTCGCGGACCCGCGCATACGCCGCTTCGTCGAGACCGACGCCCCCACCCTCGTCAAGGACCTCCTCAACCACGTGGCCAAGAACGGCCACAAGGAGGAGGCCGCCGCCGCCGGCGGCGGCAAAAAGGGCAAAAAGGGAAAGGGCAAGGCGGCGGCGCCGCCCCCCTCGGACGACGACGACGACGAGCCCGAGGGCTCAGTCGCCGACCTCCTCGCGGCGCTCAACGCGAGCTCGGGCTCTGAGAGCGAGGGCGAGGCGCCCGCGCCCGCGCCCGCACCGGCGCCGTCTGGCGGCAAGAAGAAGAAGAAGAAGTGAGCAGATTTTGCTAGCAGGACCAAGGCCTTACCCCTCTCCGATGGTGGCGTGTATGGGGAAGGAGGGCGGATTCATCCTCGCTCGTCCTGTCTGTTCCGCTGCTCTAACTAAAGTAGCCCGGCTGTCCCGCAATTCGCTCAATCATCAATGGCTCAAACGTACGATTTTGCACACCGTCGGCTTAAGGGTAATACTCTGGGTTTTTAGGCATTGTGGGGTTGGCACTCCCATCGACCCTCATGACCTCCTGCGGTCTCTGAGGTGGACACCAGTAGGTGTGGGACCATAGCCAGGGTACACTCGAAGGCTGGGTAAGCAGTAGAGGTCGATACTCGACGCGTCCCACATGGTATGTGTCGCTGTCGGCACGCTGTCGACAGGACGTCGAGCGACACCGGTGGCAGTGCCACCCAGGAGTGGTCGGGCGGTCTCCCGTCATGAGAGAGCCACCATGTGATCCGTATGATGATTCCTGACAACCGCCTCAGTCAACTTTCGTCACAGTTCCCGCTCTGAGAGGAGCTGCGGGTCAGTTCGACAGCTGGAGCTGTGTCGCCGGCGTGCGGCGGCCTGCCTCCGGAGGTGCCTCTGAGGTGGACATTTTTTGGTCACCGTGAGAGAACGCGTTCGAATTTTTACTCCGGAACTTCAACTCTGCACGCGCACCGGCCAGGGCTACAATAGTGCCAGTGAGGCGAAGGCGCGAAATGAAGGCCGCGACCGGGTTCTCGAGGTGGATATCCTTTGGCCGCGTTGGGTAGCGAGGATTGCCACGTACTTTTAGGGATTAGGCCGTCCCGTTTTGATCTCTCGGTCTGTGGGCGCCCGCCCGCCGCCTCTGAGGGGGTCGGCCCCCCTAGTCTGAAAACAAAAACAAGCTCGAAAACAGCCAAAACCAGCCTGCGAGAGAGGCACTGCGCGCCGCTGACCTCATGTGTGGGGATGTGTGCCGACACCAATACTGATCTAAAACCTGGAAACCCTTGTTCAAAGCCGACCCTAAGCGCCATCCTTCCTGCTCTCACTTGATGCTGCTTCCCCGCGCCGCCTCCAGCGTCCAGGCCTCCTTCCTTGGCCCCCTTGCACGTATTTTCTACTCCCAGTGGGGGGGGGCGGCCCCCCGGGCCCCCTCTTGTTTTCTGTTTTCTGTTTTTCAAAACGCCCGCCCGCCCGCCACCCCGAGGCGGCTCGGCCCCCCACAGACCGAGAGATCAAAACGGGACGGCCTAATACCGTACGTGGGGTGTGGAGGGGGTGAGTTGACCACAGGGGTTGACTTGTGCGCCGGGCCCTCCTGCTCGGCTCCAGCGAGTAGACAAGTGTTACCATCAACAGAGGAGAAGGATCTGACCTCATGGCCAATGTGGCCAAGCGCTGGTAGCGTGGTTTTACCTCACACCCACGGTCTCACAGTGTGAGCTTGGCGAAATCCGGGGTTACGGGGACGCCGCCACCGACGAGCGCGTTGGACTTTTCACTCCGGACAAAGACCGCTGCACAGGCGGACGGTAAAGCCGTATGGCTATGGGCCGTGCAGCGGTCATAGCGGCGAGGCGCGGGACCGTCTGTGGCGAAGTGGGCCGCGTCCCCGGATTTCCGTCAGCTCAGCCTCCACACCCTCGATACACTTCTTTCGCGTTTCGGCGGCGCGCCATCGACCCACGCCCCACGCGGGCAGAGGTTGCACCCGCCCAAAGCTCCGTTGGAGCTTGGACGTTTTCAAGATTACAGACTGAGTGAATTGGAACTAGCCACACCCGCTAGAGCTCGATCTGCGGTAGTAGCCTCTCCGGTCGATGCAAAAGCAATACTCGAGTACGGAACGCTCTACTAACGTGCGCACAGGGACATCGGCGCCACCTACATGTCCCGGCGCGGCGCGCGCACGCTCGGGCGCGCGAGGTATCGCCAACACGTCCTACGGCTGCACTACAGGCTGCTGGCGCGACTCGGCGGGGCGCCGCCGCACGAGGCGTGCCACCGCTATGCGGCGGCGGAGGAGCTGCCACCGCCGCCAGAGCGGCCCCGCATCGCATGGCACCGCTCCCATGCTGCACAGCGCGAGGCGGCGGCTCACCGTGCGGTGCTCCGGAGCCGGGTAGAGCGGCACCGCCACCGTGTCGAAAAGCTTGTACGGCTGCTGCAGCAGCACCTGCGGCGTCTGCTGGAAAAAGTTGCGGAACGGAACGCCGCCGAAGCTAGGGTCCTGCTCGTGGACCATTGTGATGGCGATGCGCCGGTCCATCGCCGCTTGCACGAGGCGCGCGACGGCGCCGCCGGCGTCCAGGAAGGTCTTATCGTTCAGGTAGAGCAGAAACACTACGTGCCCGGAGAGCGGGGCCGCGTTGACTCCCTCGAGCGCCTCCTCCGCATCGCGGATCGTTACCGTCTCGGCGCTGGCGGTAGAGCCGCGCCCCTCCCTCGCCGCCGTATTGAGCTCCCCTGCAATGCCGACGGCGCCCTCGTTGTCGCGGCACACGAGGATGGTGACGGGGCCGCTGAAGGCAACGGGGCCCGCCTTTCCGGGCACCATCACGCCGTCGGCGAGCTCGGCCGGGCGGCTCGCGTAGTAAGGGGAGTGCAGCAACATGCGCAGCGCGACAGCCTTGAGCGACTCGAGCTGAAAAGCATTCACCCGCACCCACACGATCGGCGTCGTCGCCTCAAACACGCGCGCGAGCATCTCGCCTGGCCCGCTGTAGGAGGGGTAGGCCGGCGGGGCGGTCTCGACGCAGTGCTCGCGGCACTCTGCCTTCAGCGCCTCGATCGAGGCGCCGCCCTTGTCGACGTCAGCCTCCTGGATCGGGATGAAGGGCCGGTTCGAGCCTAGCGCAGCGTACAGCTCGCGGCGACAGTTGAAGCTCTTGAAGTATCCCGCGCTGAGGAAGACGAGAAAGGTCGTCGCGTCTCTGACCGACTCCTCGAGCCTGCCCACGTCCTCGAGGTTGTCGACGTCGAGCCAGATCCGGACGCCGGGGAGAAGAAGCTGGAGCTGCCGCACGACGGTGTGCGTCTGGTCCTGGCCGGTCCCCCAGCAGTGCGAGATGAAGCCGTGGAAGTGGCATGCGCGCGGCAGCGTGAGGACTGGGGGACGGCTGGAGGAGGAGAGGCGGATGGTGGGCATGCGGACGGCGCTGACTGTCTTGAAGAGGACGACGAGCAGCGACGCGGCCAGCATTGCGGCGGTGAGCGCGATCACAAACTCACTCGCTCCGCGCGCGCTGTCGAAGCCGACGAGGGCCTTGCACATGTCCTCGTAGGCGGGGCTCTCGCACAGCTGAATCACCATGCCGGAGGTGAAGCAGCAGGAGAGCAACAGATTGGCGGTGCACGCGAGGTAGAGGTCGTCGTCGCGCTTGAAGGGCCGGGCGAGGGCGAGGGCGGCGAGGTAGAGGGCCGAGACAACAGACGCGACGAGGAGGCGGAGCAGCTTGCTCGAGCCGTCGTCTGTCTGAATGAAGAGCACCAGTGAAGCAAGGAAGAGCTTACGGCCCAGATCGACGACATCCCAGAAGAGGAAGCGCGGGTCGTAGTCGCGCCAGAGGAAGCGGCAAGCTCGGGCCGTGGCCCTGACTCGCTGCGCCCGCACCTCGGAGCGGATCGAAAGCAGGATCGCCAGGAAGGCTAGCGGCACGAGCACCGGCCACAGCACGAAGAAGGCCCAGAAGTACGCGTCGAGGCCGCTGTACTCGTCGTCGCCGGCGCTGCAGAGCACGTCGAGGTCGGCGACGAGGTAGGAGCGCCTGTCCCCTGTCACGTCGTCGATACTAAACGACTCGCACTGCCGCGCCTTGAAGACGGAGCGAGACACGGAGGGCAGCACGAGGTAGGCGACGAGGATGGCCCAGTAGAGGAGGCGACGCAGCGCAGCACGGACGAGGTCGCGCCGGAGGGCGTCGGCGCGACCAGACAGAAGCCACTCCGCGAGGGCGCAGCAGGCGAGGGAGGCTCCTCCGAGCATGATAGATAGGATCGGCCACAAGCCTGCGAGCAGGAGCCGGTCTCCCATCGAGCCGATGCAGGCGTCCGGATAGGTAAGGCCGATTAGGTCGAGGCTGATCGCGTCCATGAAGTCGGTCCAGCGCGTGAAGTCCTCGTGGAGGCGGACGCCGTAGACGGGGCCGAGCGTCGCGGCGATCTGGTAGAAGCTGACCAGGATCTTGAACTTGGGCTGGAAGCCGACCTAAGGCAAATGGCGCGAAAGGTGTCTCGCCACACGCAATGTGTGAGGCAGCGACGGGCTACTTCCATTCTGTGATCGGCAGAAGTCCACGGCAGGAAGAGGCAGAGTGGCTGCAGGGTGACTGAGGGGGCTGCACGCCGACCTGCGACTCGCAGATGTCAAGACGTGCTCTGAAGCGGCCCCATGTCTCGGCGCGGGCGAGGACGCGGTACAAGACGAGCCCTGTCCCTGCGAGAGCGACGACGACTCCCGCCAGGATGCCGAACCGCCCTGTCGTCGGGCAGTCGGTGCAGCCTCGCTCCGCGCGGCTGAAGTACTGCTCGTCGCTCACGCACCACTCGCAGAGCGGGCCGGTGTGGCCGAGGTCGCAGCCTGGGCCGGCGCCGCCAGACGCCGCAGCAGCGAGGCGGCGGGAGGTCTCCGCCGCGCCGCCCGAGCCGCTGCAGTGGTCGGATGCGTCGCACTCGTGGATCTTGGTGGTGAGGGGCGAGGCGCGCCAGTAACCGCGCCGGACGCCGAGGGTCTCGAGAGTGGTATTGGTCGCGCAGTTGGCGTTCAGCGGGCACGCTTTGCAGTGCTCGGTCGGGAAGCGGAAGATGTCATTCGGAAGGGCGCTCGCGTCCTGCAGGTAGAAGCCCTCCTTGCAGATGGAGCAGGTGATGTCGCCGCTCTTGGAGCCGGTAGGGTAAGGGCAAGGGGTGCACTGCGACAGGCCCTCGCTCGCAGCGTATGCGCCCGCCTCGCACTCCTCGCACTCGGTGGTGGAGGCTGCGAAGCGTCCGATCGGGCACAGCTCGCAAGCAGACATGTTGGCCGAGGGGGCGATGCTGCCTGGAGCGCAAGCAGTTGGCTGCGCGGCGCCGCCGGCGCAGAAGCTGCCAGGCGCGCAACCGACGCAATCGTCGAGGCTCTCCAGCGTGGTGGACGCGTTGCCGTTGTAGAAGCCGGCAGGGCAGCTCGCGGGCAGCTGAGCGCTGCTTCCCTTGGGACAGAACGCACCCGGCGCGCACTCGAGGCAGCCCGCGGCTCCGGAGTCCGGCTGGTACGTACCGAGGCTGCAGACGGTGCACTGGCCCTGAGCAGGCTTGGCTGCGGTTCCCGGAGAGCACACGGCAGGCGCGGCGCCACCTCCCGCGCACGACGAGCCGGCGGGGCACTCGAGGCACTCGGGGTCGCCGTCGGCGTCCGTCACGTTGGCGTACGTGCCAGGCGAGCACTGCGCGTCCAGCTCGCGCGACGAGCCAGAAGGGCAAAACTTGCCAGCAGCGCAGCGGACGCAGGCCGCCTGGCCGGTCTCGTTCTGGTAGTAGCCCTGGGCACACAGCTCGCAAGCCTCGCTGCGCGCCTCGGCGGCAGAGCTTCCCATGGCACACGCCGTCTGCTGCGTGGAACCGGTGGTGGCGAAGTGGCCCGGCGAGGCGTCGGTGCACTCGCTCGCGGCGGTGAGGTTGGTGGCGGTCGAGTAGCTGCCCGCAACGCACGGCAGCGGCGCCGACGCGCCCTCGGCGCAGTAGCTGCCCTCTACGCACGGAAGGCAGCTCGTCGCGTTCGACTCGCCCTGGTACTTCCCGCCCGCACAGCTGGCGCACTTGGAGAGGCCGGCCGTGGCGGCGAAAGAGCCCGGCGAGCACTCGGAGGGCGGCGCCGCCCCGCCGCCGCACGACGAGCCGGCGGGGCAGGCGAGGCACTCGGGGTCGCCGTCGGCGTCCGTCACGTTGGCGTACGTGCCAGGCGAGCACTGCGCGTCCAGCTCGCGCGACGACCCCACCGGGCAAAACTTGCCGGGAGCGCAGCGGACGCAGGCGGCCTGGCCGGCCTCGCTCTGGTAGTAGCCCTCGGCGCACAGCTCGCACTCACTCAGCCCGGGCTCGCCGCCAAATGTCCCAGCACGGCAGCTCGCGCAGGTCTCGCTGCTGTCTGCGCCGGTGATCGGGCTAGAGGTACCGGGGGGGCACTTCTGACAGGCATCTGGTGAGCTGCTGCCCGTCTTCTCGTTGTAGCTCCCCGCAAGGCAGGGCGTGAAGCCGCCGCCACAGTCGTCTGTGACTTCGCAGTATCCACCCGCTTCACACAAATCGCACGTCGTCTGCCCGCGCTCCGGCTGGAACTCGCCAGCAGGGCACTTCACGCACGCAGCCTGGCCGGTGAGGTTCTGGTATTGCCCTGCGGCACAGTCGAGGGGCTGGATGGTGCCTGCATTCGGGCAGAAGCGTCCCGCGGGGCAGTCGGTGCAGCTGGTGGCGTTGAGCTGATCGGCGAACGTGCCAGGAGGGCACTCGTCGCAGGGGTGGACCGCGCCGGCTGTGGACTGGCTCGTCCCCGGAGAGCAAGGGAGGCACGACTCGGCACTGGCTGCGCCAATCACGGGCATGTAGAAACCCGGAGCACACGGGAGCGGTTCCGCTGTGCCCTTGGGACAAAAGTGGCCTCGCTTACACGCACCTTCGCAGGAGGAGTTGGTGAGGCCGCTCCTGTTCCCATAGTAGCCAGCGGGGCAGAGGTTGCACTCGGGGACGCTGAAGTCGCCAAAAAAGGAGCCCTTGCGCGGCATCCAGCTGCCCAAGCGGCAGTCCCAGTCTATCGGCGAGTTTGTCTGTATCGTCGTGTCGTCGCCAGCAGTGTTGCCGGTGAAGGAGGCGTCGCTGATCGAGGAGGGCGTGTTTGAAAGGTACAGCACCGAGGCTGAGAGGTCCGCCCTGTTGTCGATGAAGTCGACACCCGCGATGGAAAGGGAATCGCTGTAAAACGCGTAGACGACGCCGCCGGACTGCGGTTGCGAGGAGAGGGCGGGGGTGAGGCAGCAGTGGCCCTCTCTACCTCTTGCCCCGCTTTCGTGCGGCGCTGCTGGAGTGCGGCTAGCTCTACGCGGCGCACCCTGCCAGCAGAGCAGCTCGTCACGTTCGAGCTGCTTATCGAGACCGCACCGCTGTTCCGATTCGCGTAGACGACGCCGCCGTCCTGCGGTTGCGAGGAGAGAGCGGGGGTGAGGCAGCCGTGGACCCTCTCGATCTCTCGCCCCGCTGCCGTGCGCCGCTGCTGGAGTGCGGCTAGCTCTACGCGGCGCACCTCGCCAGCCGAGCAGCTCGTCACGGCCGAGCCGATTATCGAGACCGCACCGCTGCTAACCGCGTAGACGACGCCGCCCAACTGCGGTTGCGAGGAGAGAGCGGGGTGAGGCCAGCTGCGGCCCTCTACATCTCTCGCCTCGCTGCCGTGCGGCGCTGCAGGGGTGGCGGCTAGCTCTACGCGGCGCACATAAGCCGAGCAATCTCTGACCGTCGAGTCGATGATCTCGACGTCGCCTGCGTTCCTCGCGTACACAACACCGCCGCCGCTGCTTGCACTCCCGTTGACGAGGGTCAGCCCCCGCAGGGTGAGGCTGCAGCCGCCCTCGAGGTAAAAGAGCCCGGTCTGTTCCTGGCCGTCGAGCGTCGCGCCCTCGCCGCTGCTGGCGACGGTCACCTTGATGTTGGAGGAGCAGCTGATCTGGCTGCCCAGCTTGAAGTCTGCCCTGGGCGGCAGGTAGATTGCGACGTCGGCTTGCGAAGTAGCAGCCTCCGTGATCAGGGAGCGGAGCAGGGCCTCGCTCGCCGCGGCGACAAAGTCCGGAGAGAGCGGCGGCAGCGGCGGGGGCGGCGACAGAGGCGGCAGCGGCGGTGGCGGCGGCGGCGCAGGGGGCAGAGGCGGGACGGACGGAGGCGTAGAGGGCGGAGACGGCAAGGACGGCGGCGACGGCGGCGGCGACGGAGGCGTAAACTGCGAGAAGGAGACGTCGTCCAGCGCCATGTCCGACCTGAAGCCCGACCCCGTCCGGCCGTTGAAGCGCACCTTCGTCGTCGAGGCGGGTAGGATCACTACCGCTTCGAGCCAGCTATTGCCCTGGTCGCCGGTCCTGCTCCAGAGCGTCGTCCAGCCCGTCTCGGTGCCGTTGGCCTCGACGGAGAGGGTGCCCATGAGGTCGCCGTAGTTGAACTGCGCGTACATGTCGGACATGTGGTAGAAGAAGGAGACGGTGGCCTCCTGCTGGAGCGAGAAGAGCGGGCTCTCGAGCTGGTGCAGCTTGTTGGAGCGGCCAGAGGCCTCGGTGTAGAGGTAGTAGCCCGAGCCGGTGGTGTGGTCGCCGCTCGGGCCTGTGCCTCCTGATGGAGTGCCACCGCTCCTGCGGGTCCAAGAGAACCCGTCCGGCGCGGTGTCGGTCCAGGCGCAAGTGTCGACCTCGAAATCGCAGCTCATCATGTCGGGTAGAAGAGGCGGCGGAGAGGGTGGGGGGGGCGGCAGGAAGGGTGGCGACAGCGGAGAGGGCGGCGGCGGCGGAGACGAAGGCGGCGGCGGCAGCGACGGCGGCGGCGGAGAGGATGGTGGCGGCGGCGGAGGGAGTTGTGGCGGCGGCGGAGAGTTAGGTGGAAGCGGCGGCGGCGGTGACAGAGGCGGCAGCGACGGCGGCGCCGGAGAGGACGGTGGGAGGGGGGCGAGGATGAACGTCTCGCTGCCGTAGGATCCGGAGCCGAGCGTGAACGTATAGCCCGCACCCTCCCACTCGTCGCCGTTCCAGCCGTCGCCGTACGATTCGTACATGTTGAGCGTGCACTCGCCGGGCGGCGCGGACAGGGTGCCGGAGTAGGGAGCCCCTCCACTGCCGATCAACGCGCCGCTGCACGTCAGGTCCCACGACACCTCGGACGGGTAGCTGCCGCCACCCACAGTGACCTGGAAGTCGATTGATGGAGCGGACGGCGGTGAGTCAACCTCGCCAGAGCCAATCTCCCCAGAGCCAGACTCGCCCGAGCCAAGCTCGCCCGAGCCAGACGTGTAGACTGATGGTGCACATGCCAGCGGGAGCAGCGCGGCGAGAATCAGCAGCCACGCGCCACGCCTCGCCCCCGTCCGGCACCGCACGAGGCGCCCCGAGCTGCTCCTCCGCACCGAGAGCAGCACGCCGCCGCACGCTCCGAGCAGCAAGAACAAGGCGGCCCAAAACTGACAGCGCTGCTGGGTGCGGACAGGCGCGGAAGAGGAGGGTCCGCTCATGAAGGGAAAGTGGAACGGGGAGGGCAGGTCGATGGAGAGCTTGTCGACCGGCGGGTTCGCGGGCGGCTTGTCGGTCTTGCAGCGCTCGTCGGTGAGTGCGTGGTGAGGCTCCGCATGCCACGCAACGGGGGCGGCGCAGCGTGGCTGCCGGTCGGCGCACACACGTGAGACGGAGGAGATATCGGACTGGACCGAGTTCGAATCGGAGATCTGAGCGGCACGGACCTCTGCAGGCCATGCCGGCTCCGCGAGAAGAGGGTCGATGGCCCGGCCAAGCTGGAGGAAGAGATCCTTGGTTGTGGCTGGAGAAGCGGTCGCCAATCTGTTCACCCGCCACTCGCCGCCGGCGTGCATGCTAGCGACGGGCGCGCCGAGGCCAGTCTCAACCAGCTTCTCGGGCGTGTTCCCAGCGTCGGCGGACCGCATCTCGGGCAACGTGCCGTTCACGGGCAGGACGGTTTCGCGAACGATGATCCCCGATCTGTTGCTGTAGACGGGACCGATAGAGTCGATCTCGGGCTCGCCCTTGCGCTCCATGCTGTTGCGCGAGGCCGGGGCGGTCTCCAAATCGGCCTCAACCTACACGCAAACACACAGGCAATCCGTCAGCGGGTGACCAGGGCTCGCACACAGAAACAGGCAGAGGGGCGCTCACCGGCTGCTTCTCGTAAAAGTCTTTGACGGACGCCGGCGGCTCGCCAATCAGGTGCAACGGCTCGCCCACCGCCTCTTTGATCGCTTCCATCAGTGCTTCCCACGAGCGCCCCTCGTCGCGTTCGCCCTGAACAGCGCGCGGGCTGTTAGTCACGAGCTGGCGAATACTAGCACGCTCGAGCGAGCGCGCACCGGGTGTTTGGCGGGCGCGCTGTCCGACGACACGATGGCTGCAAACGAGCTGGTGTCGTTGCCGCCAACCTCGCAGAAGCCGTTGGGCGATGCCGGCGTGAACGGCTTTGCGACGGTTGCGGGAGGCGATGTCGGCCACGGGGACTCGTACCGCTGCGAGGAGAGAAGCGCGGAAGTGGCAGAGCACGAGGAGTGCGCAAACGCGGCTCCGAGGCAGATCAGCGCGAGGATGCCAAAGAGGCGGAGCAAGTTGTAGGACTTTGACCACGGGAACCGGCCGGCGGCAGAGCCCTCGGGCGTGGCATTCGTGGTCGTCTCGACGTCGACCGTCGCGCCCTGAACAGGAGGGCGCGAGACTGGCCGTGTGAGAGCGGCGAGCGAGGGAGGAGGCCGCATAAATGCAGGCGGCGCGCACCGAGTCTGCGGTCGGCGGCGTGGAGCCGCGGGGCACCTTGCCGTTGCCACCGAGGATGCCCTCGTCGCCGTCCGTTCCGAGCAGGGCCCCGAACCTGTTGCTGCCGCCGACCGGGGTGGTGTTCTTGGTGCGGACGATCGGGGCGGATGCGCCCTTGCGCCCCTTCTTGCGGCGCGGGTTCGACGGGGTGGCCCTGTCGGGGATGCCCTGCGCACGCGCAAGCGGTGGGTGCGTCAATAGTTGAGGCTCTGCGCGTGCACCGCAGCCGATCGGCGCCGTGGCGGGCTTCACCCCCGGAAATTCCTTGGCCGAGACGGTCCAGTCGGCGTCGCCCTGCGCAATGAAAGCGGGGTGGGGTCGAGGAGTGGGTCGGCAGACGCACGGCGCAGAATGCAAGGCGCTCGCCGCCGGGGCGGGCGTCTCCACCGGAAACTCCTCGCTCGACGGCAGCGGCGCGCCGCCGGTCGCCGCCGGCGTGAGAGCCGGGGCACTTTTGGTGACGCCGTTGGGGGCCGTCGGTGGGTCCATCGGAGTGGTGTTCTTGGAGCAGTCGACCAGGCTGGGCTCGCCCTTGCGCTCGATCTTGCGGAGCGGGGAGGGGGTCGTCCACTCGTCGATGCCCTGCGCGTGTGCGAGAGAGGCCACAGGGTCAATATGAGTACCGCACGTGGGACTCCCGTGTCCCGGCAATACCCATGTCCATGTGTGACGTGCTCGATCGAGAGGGCGAATGCAAATCGTGTGAGCGTACAGCGGTGCAGGAGACGCTGCAGGGGGCTGCAGGGCGCTCACCGCCGAAGCCGTCTCCTCCGGGAACGTCTTGGCCGACGCCGGTGTCTCGTCGTCCTGGTAGCAGGGGCTCTCCAAGGAGAAGGCTTGCGTGAGGACACCCAGCGCCTGCCAAACGCGCTCGACGAAGAGGGCCGCCGCCTTGGAGTTGTCGGACACGCACAGCATCTCCTGCAGATCTTGGATGTCGTTCTCCAAGAACATCCCGGTGATCTTGCCGGCCCACACGCTGTTGAGCGTCGACACGATGTAGTGGATGCGGTTGCCAATGCAAGAGGTGTCCATGCATTGCGACGACTCTGTCGCCACCCGAGCCACCGCCACCCACCCCGCCAGCAAGACCATGTCGATGGCCACGCCCAGCTGCGAGTTGAGCTTATCCGCGAGCTCGGCTGCCGCGCGCCAGTCATCGCCCGTGGGCCAGAGCAGGATCATCTCGTCCTCGAGCGATGCGGGCTCGCCGTTGGACGGGGTGACGTCCTCGAGCGATGCGGGCTCGCCGTTGGACTTGGTGGCGGACTCCTCGGCGGCGGCGGACTTGGTTGCGGAGGACTCCTCGGCGACGGCGGACTTGGTGGCGGAGGACTCCTCGGCGGCGGCGGACTTGGTGGCGGAGGACTCCTCGGCGGCGGCGGACTTGGTGGCGGACTCCTCGGCGGCGGACTTGGTGGCGGACTCCTCGGCGGCAGCAGACTTGTTGTCGGACTCCTCGGCGGCGGCGGACTTGGTGGCGGAGGACTCCTCGGCTGCGGCAGACTTGGTGGAGGACTCCTCGGCGACGACGGCCTCCTCAGTGGCGGACTCCTCGGCGGCGGCCTCCTCGGTGGCTGCCTCCTCGGACTCCTCCTCGGTGGCGGACTTGGCGGCGGCCTCCTCGGTGGTCGCCTTCTTGGTGGCCGCCTCCTCGGCGGTCGCCTCCTCGGTGGCCGACTCGGCGTCCTCCTCGGCGGCGGCGGACTTGGCGGCGAGCTCCTCGGCGGCGGCGGACTTGATGCCGCACGCCTGGGTGAGGGGAGAACACGCAAGTGTGCGGAGACAAGGAGACCGTAGAGATGATGACAATCCTGCCGTGCGCACACCACCTCGGCTCCGAGGTGCGACGGCGGCGACGACAAGTAGATCTCGTCCACATCGCCGTCGGGCTTGGCCGTGTCCACTGCGGGCTTGGGCGCGGCCTTGACGTCGTCCTTGACGCCGCACGCCTGTGGGCGAGAGCGGACGCAGCTGTTCGGAGACGGGGAGATTGCACGGATGTGCTCTTGGCGTGCGCACACTCACCTCGGCTCCGAGGAGCGAAGGCGACAGCGACGTGATGCCGACAGGAGCCGTCGGCGCAGACTCGGACGGGACGTCATTGCCGTTGCCGATGACGTCATTGAGCGACGCGGGCTCGCTCTTGGACGAGATGCCGTCGTGCTTGCCTCCGGCAGAGTCGATGACGGACAAGGGCGGTGACGGAAGTGGCGGGCACGAGGTTTTGTCGACGGTGAACGTGAGGCGCCGCGAGGTCTCGGCGCCGGCGAACGATGCGCCTACCGACGCCGCAAACACGACGCCGACGTACTCGAGCGAAACGGGCTTGCCCTCGGACGGGGTGACGTCCTCGAGCGAAGCGGGCTCGCCCGACGGGATGACGGACGGGATGACGTCCTCGAGCGAAGCGGGCTTGCCCTCGGACGGGATGCCGGCGGCCTCGCCTCCGGCAGCGTTGACGGTCGTGTTGCCCGCCAGCGACGCCTGTGTCAGCCAGAAGGCCAGAGGATACGTCTTGCAGGTGGGAGCGCATTGTCACGTGCGCGCAAGCACAAGCCTGCTTGTCAGCAAGCGGCGGCGGCGGAGGAGAGAGCTTTAGCATGTCACCGGCGGCCGGCACCAGCTCGCGTTTGAGCTTGTCGAGCATGTTGATCGAGTTCCTGCAGCGCGCGGGGGTATGCACGCCAAAGAGAGTCAATAGATGCAGCTCATGGAGAAGGCTGTGTGACGGGCTCATGTGAAGGCTGTGTGAAGGACAACGTGTGGAAGTAAAGTGCTACTGGTTGGAGTTAGTGGAGACTGTGCAGAGCACCACTATTATTACTGGTCACTGGAGACTGTGCAGAGCACTCCTATTATGACTGGGGACTGGAGACACAGTGCAGAGCCACTAGACTGTGCAGAGCACCATTATTATTACTGATCACTGGAGACTGTGCAGAGCACTCCTATTATGACTGAGGACTGGAGCCTGTGCAGAGCACTCGTGTATGACTGGTTACTGGAGACTGTGCAGAGCACTACTATTATTACTGGGGACTGGAGACTTGTGCGGAACACTCGGCGAACGGAGAGGTCAGCACCTACGGGATCATGACCATGTGAAAGAGGGTCAAAAACTGCTATGGAGATGTCCAAGGGGTATATGGGGTATATGGGCGTATATGGGCCTGTGTATGGGGGTATATGGGGAGGAAGGAGAATATCTCGAGGAATCTCCGAGAATGGATCAAGGTACAAAGTCGAGCAG